ACATTCTAAATAATTCTAATTGAATCTCACATTTTGGTCTAATAAACTGAAAATAGCTGACTTAGAATTATTTTTTTCCCAATGCATTTATTTTTGTCAAAACCCTGATTTTCACCTCTAATTCACTCTGAATTCCTGTAAATTCACACTTAAATGAATAGCCTTGATAAACTTGTGATTAAAATATGTTTGTGAAACGTTAAGGATGTACTAAGTGGAATATAAACAATTTACCAAAGGCAGGCAAGTGTTAAGTCCAGAATAAAATGTAGAAACATAATCTAAAATAAAAACAAACGCAATAAAAAAATTTGCAGCCTATATTTAAAACATTGAATAGTAGCTACATTCCATTAGATACCATTACTCCTCAGCTATCCAGAGGGCTGGCGGACACATGCCATTTTGTGTAATCAGGTCCTATTGAGTTGGCAAATAAATAAAACCCTACTCGTTTTTTTTAGGCTCTAGAAGGCTATTAACAAATCAGGAGATAAGGAATTCTAGAAAGAAAAACACATGCTGCAATAACGGAACATAAAGAATTAAAAATAGACTCTTTTTCATGAAGTGTATTGCGAGACTGCTTGTGTCACATGCAGGGAGGTGTGGTTAGAGCTGCATAAACAGTGTGAATTTTAAATGGCAGCACATTGAGCACTAAGACTGCAGGGACATGATATATATATACCAAAACTGCTGTATTAAGCTAGAGTTATTTTTCCGCTTGGAGTATCCCTTTAACCCCTTAAGGACACATGACATGTGTGACATGTCATGATTCCCTATTATTCCAGAAGTTTGGTGCTTAAGGGGTTAAATATAAGTAGCAGAAATTGTGCTTAGTAAAACCAGTGGCAGGGAGGAAATTCTATGCTGGAGCGTAAAAATTAAATAAATTGTTTTGGTAATCAGATATTCCTGGCTGATTGCTGTTTGATGTGTTGATGTACAGGCGGCTGTTCTCTGTACTGCATGCATTGATGTGGATGGGTAATTGCATAACTGCTGGGGCTTGCAAAGCATTGTACTGCACGCCAATTACATCCTATCTTTATTCAGTTGGTAAATAGGATCCAATTATATTATTATTTTAAATGTATTATGTATTCATTACCCATTTCCCAAATAAATATTTACAAATGTCATTATTTATAAATGTATAAATTCTCCCCATGCTTTGATCTCCAGAATATGAAAATACTATTCTAACTGCCTATGCTGGTTCTATTTTTTGCATGCACTAATCTGTAATATATCATGCTTTGCAGTTATTGTTTGCTCACATATAAAGCTTGTCATATACCATATATCAGCTCTGTTATCCTTTACTATCTTTCTGGACACAAGTACAAGAAAAGGATTAGTTCACTAAACAGTGAAGGTGAATTGTTTACTGACAAACAAAATCTAGATCAAAACAGCGGAACCAGAAAAAAAAAATCTACAATTTTGAATTATTTGTTTTACTCACCGCAGCACACTATTTAATGTATTATATACTTTTATTGTTTGGTTTGTATGTTTGTTTTGATTGTTCTTCCTTTGCGATGTTCAATGCAGTCTTTATTAATTTGTTACCACTGTTGGCCAAAATCATGTTTATAAAAGGTCCCTTTGCTAACATGACTACTTTGAATTAATAATTACTTTGTAGAAGGTTCTGTGTAAAATATAATATATATTGCGTAATACTTGTAACCTCTCTAATATTCAGTTGGTACATTACTATTAGTTACGGTGTAAGAGGATAAGCCCTTCACAGGGAATACAGTACTATAGTGGTTCCCAACCTTGTCTCGATTACACACCAGCAGCCCTATTGCACAGAATCGGAACTATTGGTGTACGTTGAGCACTGCTGGGAAACACTGCAGTAAAAGTATTATTGGAGATATATTAGGATCGATTCCTTCACTACCAATGTATGTGCATATTGGTGATTTACTTTTGTTTTGTTTTATCCTTCCCTCACTCCAGACATTTGGTGTTTTCAAGGACCTTGAAAAGCCTTAGGACATATGTACAATCAAGGCCTTTGCAATACCTTTTAAAATTTAGATGCCAGGTTTTGCAGACATACCATTGTTACATTCTCTGTAGTCATAATGCATATACTGGAGATTTATCTAGAAAGTATTCTGGAGAAGAGTGATAAATAATGATCAATCACCAAAGGTGATTCCTTCCTGTGTCTAATCATTTAGCACCTGTTTTCCTATTGATACATTAATCGATTGGTAAATCTCCACCATAATTTGATTGCTTTTAGGGAATCTTCATGAAATTTGTCAGAATGTCCCCACATTCCTTACACATACTATTAAACAGTACATTTGACCATTTTGCCTGTATTTGCCTAATCATCCAATTTGTGCTTTAATGCGAAATTTTTCATGAACATTAAATACTGAAAATCAAATGTTGTAACTGCAATTAATTGGTAAAACGAAGAAGGAATAAACAGAATATCTTTCTTTTCTTTTGCATGTACAACATTTTTGTGGATACTCACATAATTATACATGGTTTAGTTTATGTTCATAATATTTGGTTGTTAGGTCACCAGAAAACCAATACCATTTGGGCATCAACCGTACCAGCCACCACTAGTTTTTCTTCTGACTGTAACACCCTTTATTATTTTTGCAGTGCATGATTTTTCCATAAGCAACACACATAAATATTTCTTTTTGTGGTTTTTTTTTTAATACAGCTAACATATGATGTTTGTATCGTGCATGCGTCCCAGCAATTTAATTGGCTACGTTCCTGGAGATGAAAGGTTACTGCCTGGACCAGCATATTGTTTAGGGCCACGGATTGCATTATGGAATAACACAATAAATTCAATCTAGAATAGCTGGATATCAGCTGCCTCATACACATTCATGGCCAAAATCAGTTTAGCAACCCTGCAATCATAATAGTAAAACAACATCTGTATCATTCACTGATTTGCAATATCAATCCTGCCTGGAAAAAGGCTTTCTTTATTAGAGGGCTTTAAGGGAATAAATCACAGTTGACACCTCTTACGGCATTACACCATTTTAAATAACAATCTAAAATCGTTTATCTCCAAGGTATTTTTAGGCCGAATTGGAGATCAGGAGCTTCCAGGATAGTTACAAGGCGATAAATCTTCGCACAAGAAGATGGATCTGTGTGTATTACACACAGTACAGTATCTTTCATTCTTGGCTGTTATGCCAGCTGTTGCTTGTGGGTGAACTTTGTGGCAGATATATTCTCTGGCTACTTATGCACAATGATTGCAGGAGGCAAGAGGGAGGTTTGATTTCGAAAGCTGATTGATGTAATAGCATTCGCATTAGCTTCGCTGGGTATATTGGGAACGCAATTATTTATTTATTGTGCTCGCCAAAGTGCTGCTTAGAGCTTTATTTCCTTTTTCTTTTTGTTTCCTTTTAGTGTATTGCATACTGCTAAAGAGCACAAAGTATTGTTATTAACATTTGTATAGCTCCAAAATAATCTGCAGCTCTTTACGACTTTAATGGTGGCATATAACAGAAAATAACTACAGGGCAAGCTATCACAAGTGTTAACAGGACAAGAGGTTATTGACAACCTCGCTTTAATTAGTTTACAATCTAGACGAGGTGATGTAGGAAAATGCAAGAGGGGGTGAGATCGACAGTCCTGTGTGCGGAGAAACTGTAGAGTTGGAAGGTAGGAAAACTGTGGAAGTGAAGCCACTAAGTATGTTAGAGAGAGGGCAGAGAGATTTAAATGAATACTCCAAGCATCATGAACACAACAGGCGACTGTAGTGGTTTTAATGCCGAAAATACCCTTAATACCCACTTAGTAACAGTTTGTCCTCCTACCTGGGTTCCTCCTGGGCTCCGTGTCTTCTGGACTAACTGGCTTCCAGAGCTGCAGAAGCCAGAAGCGCATCTAGTTGTCATTCATTCGCTGAAAGGAAAAGGTGACCACTCTTAGCCACTGAATGGCAAACTGTGCAAAAATAATTGCACAGAATTGACATTAGCCAGGCTAGAAATCTAGTTCTGGGCTAGCTGATGACATCCCAAGATGCTGCCTGAGGTGGAGCTACATCTCCTATAGCCAATGGGTTAAAATTGGTATATTTAGCATTTTACTTACTACTTAAGATTTAGAGCAATCTGCATATTAATTTGATTGTTGGTTGGTAATTAAGCCAGCACAATGCATACATTAAATGTTGATCTACATTTTGGTGACCTTATCATTCCATTTTATCATAACTGGCCTTTAATTCCTACTTACCATGCAAGAACTACATGGTAAACCGTATAGAGCATATGTTTTCATTTACATATTATTGTAGTGAATATATAGCTCACAATATATTTCTAGAATGAGTATGTATTGTATAACTCTAAAACTTCAATATAATATAACTGCTGTAATAGGTGGACATGCAATCATGCAGATTTCAATCAACATGTTTATAAATTCTCCTGGTTACACCCCCTTGGCTTTCAAGCACATAACAGGTTCAGTTCATTCCTGGTTTGGTTAGCACAGTGGAGCTAAACCCAAGAGGCAGCAATTGCCCATAGCACCTGGTTTTGCAAAAAACTTCTCATTGAGCTGCATTGTAATGTCTGTGATTGGACAGCCACAGAAATTCTGGGCGTGATTAAATGGGGAGGATTTACAAAGCCATAAGACAAGAGAATTGCCCGTTTTGCAAACCGTTTTGAGCTGTTTTTATACCCCCAAAGAAACAAAAAGCATAATTAAATGCATGCACGTTTTCATTGGGATTCAACAGTGATTTTGATTTATTTTGTATTTGGGCAGTGGAGTGTCCCTTTAAATGTAAAAGTTATTTTGAATTCACCAAAAGTTATTTTGAATTCACTTTGAATTCCTGACAATTCCCATTTTAGTAAATAACCCAGAAGCTTATTAAATAGTGATGTCCCGAACGGTTCGCCACGGACTCATCATTGAGTAAACTTTGACCCTGTACCTCACAGTCAGCAGACACATTCCAGCCAATCAGCAGCAGACCCTCCCTCCCAGACCCTCCCACCTCCTGGACAGCTCACTAAGAATGCAGCTTCACAATGAATGTATGGATGCTGTCCAGGAGGTGGGAGGGTCTGGGAGGGAGGGTCTGCTGCTGATTGGCTGGAATGTGTCTGCTGACTGTGAGGTACAGGGTCAAAGTTTACTCAATGATGAGTCCGTGGCGAACCGTTCGTGGCGAACCATTCGCGAACCGTTCGGCGAACAGTTCGGGACATCACTATTATTAAATTATTCTGTCTACTATAACATGTATTCCACATGAATCACTAAAAGTCTAAAATAGGTTTCATACCTTCTAAACATATATTTGAACTGCAAAAAATACTTTTATTTTGAATGTAAGGTAAAACATTACTTTTAGCCCACAAAAATGTTAATGCAATTTTCTTTTTAACATCCACTGTCATTTTATTGAATATCCATACACAGCGTGCTAATATGTCACACAAATTAATAGATCTTATAGCAAAAGATCTGATCATATCTACATAAATAGACATTAAATTAGTATGGAAATTTAATTAGCATGAACAAAATTAATGTTCATGTTACTATTGTAATTCTAGGCTCACTCTTGTTTAAAGTGAAGTTCAAATATATTACACTATTAAACCCAAAAGAACATAGATAATCTCACATATCATATAATTACCATTATCAGTCTTGAAATATATGTCACTCAATAAAAAAAATGGGATTTATGATGTCTGCAGTTCATCTGTTGGAGAATGGAGCTCCCCACTCTTCTGTGCCCCACTGGGGAGTACATTAATTTGGCTGACATTGATTTATCATCAAAGCTTAAAAGCAAGCAAGGAGCTGTGGGAACTGAAATATTGTAAGCACGTTCGCCATACTTACAGGAAAGGCGGGAAGTATTTTTTAAGACAGCAACAAGGTGAAAGCTAGTTTACAAGAATAACCTCACTTTTAATTGCTTAAATAAAGGTATTAGCAGGATTTAAATAAAAGAGGCTTGTAAAAAATAAAAAAATAAAAACAGATGTGGAAAATGGCAGAGATGTGAAATTTGGAACCACTGTTCCAGGTACATGTAAATAAAGATTGGTAAACTAATATATATAAACAGATATGATTACATTTAAACGTCAGTTTTTGTACTGAATTCTACGAATTAAAGAGAAGCATTTCATCCAATCTTAGTTCCACCATTATTTTCTGTAGAAGTGTTGAAAACATCCTGTAAAGCTTTGTCTAGAAAGGCATTATGGGAGATGTAGTTTAACACTTAGTGGCTATTCCATCCATATAATTTGATCTAAAGCTGTGACTTTGCATGAAATTAGATACTTGTGGAGCATATGCCAACTTTGCTGGTACATAGCATGCAATTACTTTCATGGCCTTAGAGAAGCTTCCTTCTACGTGTGTGGGGAGAGCTTGGGGATTATTTTAGGTGCTTCACATTTATTTATTTTTTTGCACGACAATAATTATATACATATGACGGATGGGAGTCAAAGATATTGGACCTCTTTGTACCATAACCTGTGCAAGGAGCAAGTATTTTTAGTTATGTTACTTACATAGTTATTCACTGAAGTAATAATTCAAAGTGAATTTCAAGTTTAAGGTCAATATAGTCAAACTGGAAAAATGCTTGTAGTCAACTAGGCTTTCAGTTTAGTTACTTTTGTCCTAAACTTAAAATTCACTTTGAATTGTCACTTTAGTAAGTAACCCTGTTAGACACCAATCTCTTTCATGTGCCAACCACGTAAAGGTAGAATTCTAGATTATTTATGAACTTCTGGAAACACTTGTTATATGTGCATTAATTTATTGTTTCTATAACATAAATTCCATTGCAAACATTTTTTTTTTTTTTTTTTGATGTTAAGCAGTCAATCGCCTGCGCAGAGGCGCTGTTATCGATACATGAATTAGTCAAAGTAATCATGTCATGACATTTTTTTAAGGGTACATAAATTTTTCAGAATTAAGTACATTAGTTAGCATGCCTGGTGTGAGAAGCAAGACTCAATATAAGGTTGCCTGCGCAGAGGCTCAGTGTTATATAAAATCATAGTTGCATATGTGTCTGCGCAGAGGCTGATTATAGTTGTACCACACAATATCAGTCATCTGTATGTTCCATGGTTGTAAAATCTAAACCGTTGACACGCGATGCTTATTGTCTTGTGTTGTCATTGTTAACCGAGCGCCTTCGCTGAAGCTTGCGCGATCGCTCATACGAGATGGGCGCATTATGTGAAGCGTGCAGATATGTGTGTTGCTGGTTGACAGGCAAAATGTCAGGAAAAACTAAAGCGCGGTTCCGTGCGTCTGGATAATTGCGCCTATGCAGCTATTTCGTCATCCGCTTAAGTTGTGCTTAGTGTGCCTGATGTGTTTAAGATATGCATCGTGTGTGCGGTATCAAATGGTCAGAGCAGTACATTAAATCGACTAATCCGCAGACAGTGGCTATGCGTCAATAATATCTAGCAACAATACATTGAGTTGTGTGTATTTTAGCAAGCATGTAATAGCCTGTATAAGGTGCCGTGCGCGGGGGGCTGTATTTATTTATTCGATTTAGCCCGCGGATGGCGCGTCCTATAGAAGCCACAATAAGTGTCATATGAGTAACGGCAATGCAGGTGATTGAACCTAACTATTTTGCGTCCATGTAGCTCAGGTATTTAATCGAAGCAGGTCTTCGCTATGGGCTAGCTTTATACAGGTTATAGTGTAATAAACATTAGGCAATAACTGTGAACCAACCCTCATGGGGTAATGCAAAGTAGGAAACCATAGGAACAAGGTGTATCTTAAGCTGGGTCTATGCAAAAGAGTATATCTTATGTGCAACGGCTTATGCACAAGGTAACAGTAGCGTGGTTAGCCCTAGCAAAATAGAGTTAGCCTTTTAGCATATAAGTCACTTTGCTGGAGGGGGCGTAATGACGCCCGACATGGGGAAGCCTTCCGCTGTACCCCCCTTGCGACTCTCCGGTTCCCCCAGGTGTGACAGTCCCCTTCCCTTTCCATCCCAAGGTGTGCGTCCATGTCTTTAGGGGGCACCACCCCCGCTGTGGGCACTCAGAGACCGGGGCTGTCCGGCGGCCTCCCCACCTTAGAGTCCGCCGGGCTCCCGCCTCCTGCACCTCCCCAGCTTCAGCAGGGCCTCCCTTGGGCCTCCGCCCTGTCTTGCTTCATCCTCCTCCGGCCACTTACATGTTGCCGGCGTGTGCCCTCCGGCCACCGGTCCGCCGGCGGGCCCGTGCTTCTCAGCTCCATCGGGCTCACAGAGTTGGGGGTTGTTTCTTCCCGGACCACCACCCAATCCGGGTTTCAGAGCCGGCTCTCCATCGCCACGTCCGCCGCCCACGGGGGTCCAGTCGTGGGTCCGCCGTCCCGGGGGTCCCGGTGTCTCAGCGCGGGGTCTCTGCGTGTGTGTGTCGCCCCGTGATGCTATGTGGGTACTGTGTACCCGTCGGCCATTGTAGCTCCGCATACAGGAGTGTCGTGTGCCGGGCGTGCCTCCTCCTCCAGCCTTTCGAAGTTCTGACTTTGGGCCGGGATCACCCCCCCTGCCAGGTGGGGGGGAGCGGGGCCGGGCCAGGTCTCCCGCGTCTTACTTGCGCGCCGTGGGTCTGTCTCCTGTAGGCCTCAGGCCTCAGGTGTCGTTTTGTGAGCCGGGTGGTCGATATGTGCTCTGGCGTTGCACTCCCCGGTTCCTCTCCGCCTGATTTCCTCTGTGGATTCGGTTTTCAGCGGGTACCGTGCATTTTTTAGGAGTTTCGGGCTGTTTTAGGCTTTGCTTTGCCGGAGCCGGCGTGGGTTGCAGCCGTTCAGCTCGGCGGCCCGGCCCCGCCCCTATATATGTGCATTATGCAGTGGTATGTTAACGACTTTACTTTCAAGGATTCCAGCAATCTAGGACAACAGTAGTCATTTAGTGTACTCTGTGATTGGGAAATATACAGCATAGTTTACCTCACGAAAGATTAAATATCTTTCAACTCTAAACCTTTGTTTCTGTTAGCCATGAATAGACTTACAGTGATGGCTAACCTTGACACCATAAATTGTTTCTGGACTACATTTCCCATGATGCTCAGCTAGCTTTTATAGTCTAAAAGCTAGCTGAGCATCAAGGGAAATGTAGTCCAGAAACAATTTATGGTGTCAAGGTTAGCCATCACTGATACTATTATGATCTCTTGAGTACAATGTGGGTATATTTACTAAACAGCTGTGAATGTGTGGTGAGCTCAGCATAACTCCAATTTAAGTCTTGTTTTTACAGGGCATTTGTCAGGATACCACAAACTGTTATATAATGAACAAACTGCATTGTGTAGAAGCACTTTAATGCCTGCAATATTGTTTCTTGGATTTTTGGACATAATTTATATATTTTTTTAAGTTTTGGTACGATAAATACCAGAATATATATGTGCTAAAAATATATTTTAATTCAACACTTTACCCTGGTCTTCTAGTTTCTTATTAAAAAGAAATTTGGAGGAAAAAATGCATTTTCTTTTTTCTTCTAGTAATCATTGAGGTTTTAATCTCCACATAAATAAATATAAATTAACACACAGTAACTATGAAATAATTAACCCCTATTTAAAGAAACACTCCATTGATACTTCTACTTCTGTTACAGTGGAGTTAACAAAAGCAGAATTAAAACACCCTGACTGTATGATTGGGACACAAATGGAATGTGACTGTCCCACTGAGAGACAGTCCCATTTTTAGTAATCCAGACCATTTTCTGCAACAGAATACATTGACAAATTTCCCCCATAGAGTTGGAAATGTATCTATGGACTTTTCTGCTTTATAATTTGCAAATTTCGTGCAATTACCAGTTATAATGCAGTAAATGGTCTATTTATATTTCGCATAATAAAAAACTATAGTGAAAACACATATGCTTTGATAATAAAGGTTCTGTCATGCTAGATCACTATCACTTGTTGAATATTGAGTAGTATAGATGCCAACAGTTCCAAACTTGCTTGCACAGCCCTGCATGTTGCTGCTGTCCCTGCAAAATTGGGTCCTATGGAGACTTCAAGATCCATAAAGTGACTGGGCCTAGTACAAAGCACAGAGTGGTTCAGCATTGCGC